CCTAAGGGCCCAAGTACCCAAATAGTAGGTTTAGGGTTTAGGGTTTAGGGTTTCAGGGTTTCAGGGTTTAGGGTTTAGGGTTTCAAAGTCCAAAAGCCATTCAGAGTATGGATTTGGGGGCCTAAAACCTTACTGTTTGGGTACAGGGACCCTCTGGGCTAGGGTTTTGGCATGAAAACTTAGGGGCTGAGTACCATGAGTACCCTAGCCCAAAAAAGGTTAACCTTTTGAATTATAGTAGGGTTATATAAGCCCCAAAAGGTTAAAGGTTACCAATTTAGCCCCTAAGAAAATGCGACTAGCAGAGCTGAAGCGCAGCATTTGGGACGCACCGCTGGGAGTGTCCTCAGTAGAGACGGAACCAGGAACCCGAAAGTACTCTTCCCAGTAAAATCCAAATTAAATGACCCAGAGGGTCCGAGCACCCAAATAGTAAGGTCTTAGGTCCCAAAATCCATACTCTGAATGGTTTTTGGACCTTGAAACCCTAGTATTTGGGTACTTGGACCCTTAGGGTGAACCCTAAAGGGGATTACGAGTCGCGCCCCATATAGAGCCTGTAATGCGAGATGTAGATTCGGCCCGCAAGGAGGCACAAGGTTTTCGGGTATAATGTATTCTATTTGAGGGACGGGTAAGAGGATACTCTACCCGAATCATAGAGGGTCTCAGTTCCCAAATACGATGCTCTGAATAAAACCGAAAACCGCATCTTTGGGGACTTGAACCCCAAGGGAGTGACTGCAGCGCTGTCTCCCCCTGAATAGTGGGTCTTGGCGGGCATTTCAGCTGCCTAAGGTCTGAGTACCCTAGCCCTAAACCCTGAACTCTAACCCCTAAACCCTAAACCCCCAAACCCGAACCTTTTGAAGTAGAATTGGCTCATAATCTAAGCCCCGAAAGGTTGAAGATTATTACCTACGCAGCGGCTAAGCAAGGGTAGTTGGTCTGCGAGGAAGGCCTCTCGCCGCTTGAGAGAACCGATCTGCCGTCTTCGGTCGCGGGCTTAGCCCTAAACCCTAATCCCTCAAGTCTGTAAACCCTTAACTCCAGACCGCATGCTATAGGAGCCATTAGAATAGGGTCTTGCGGCCCATTATACTATAATTATATTAAGGAACCCCCAAAGTAAATAGTATAGGAAATTCCTAAGGCCTATATACCCATAGGCCCCATAGTAGTTCCTTTGTGGGGTTACCTTATAGGATTCTATATATGAACCCCAAAAAGGAACTACTTTAGGGCCTATGGGTAATTACTACGACCCTAAACCCTAAACCCTAAATTACTTGAAGCCCTGACCATTCCAGGCTCACAGTCGTTGGGGGTCGCGTAGGGTTTATCTCGAGGCTAAACAACCTTCCTTCATCGGGCTCCTTCAGGGTTTAGGGTTTAGGGTTGAGGGTTTAGGGCTTTAGGGTTTTAGGGTTTAGGGTTTAGGGTTTAGGTGTTTAGAGTTTACCCTAAGGGTCCAAAGGACCGAATAATCATTTACTTGGGTAACGGATAGTAGTGTTGTTGGTTAGTATTCAGGAGAGTATATGATTGTTAGGTACTTGGACCCTCAGGGTGTCTGATATAAGTCCTTAGAAAGGTAAGGCAAGAAGGTTTCAAGGCAGAGAAAGGTCTAGACTAAAATTTCGGGCCTCCGTCTGTGTTTGGGATTTGGGGTCTCGGGCCTAAGCTTGAACGTGTACGTCTTATAGGGTTTAGGGTTTAGGGGTTTAGGGTTTAGGGGTGAGGGGTTAGGGTTTAGGGTTTAGGGGTTAGGGTTTTAGTGTTTACAGTTGAGGGAGCCGCTTCCCAGAGATGAGCGGCGCCGGCCCTCTTGTCCTCCAACGCTCCTGATCTGCACAGCGCTGCGGCATTGAATTTATGGAGCTTTAGAGGGAGCCTACAACTTCAACGTGCTCTTGAATATGCTGGGGCTGTCTTGTGGGCGCCCTTTTTGGGTTGAGGGTTTGGGTCCTAGATTATGATTGGATTTAGTTTCGGGTTTAGGGTTGGGTGCTTGCTAGTTTGGGTTTTGGGGGCTTTGAGGGCTTTAGAATCGAAGCTGAATCGATCTAAAGTTGAAAACCCATGGGCTATATCCGATATGTACCCTTATAAGGGTTCCTATCCGTAGTATCCCCCTAAAAGCCCAAAGGGTCCATGTTAAGCGTCATACTTGTGAATATAGCATCTAGGGCGGTCCGACATCTCTGCTCCTCTCGGGCTCCCGCAGTAAAGGCGAATGAACCCTTTCAGGGTTTAACTGTTTAACTTGAGGGTTTTGGGAATGATCCTACAAAGCTTGGGGCGCGCTCGATTGCAGGAAACTCGATCAACATCCAGAACTAAACCCTAAACCCAAACCCCTCAACAGTGCATCCAGAACCCCAGTCGGTCTCAGCGTGAACTCCCTAAAGGATATCCTTCAGGATTTCTGGGCATCATCGCAGCCTCCATGGTGTTTGATTAGGTTTTAGGGTTTAGGGGTTTAGGGTTTAGGGTTTAGGGTAGCTGAGGGTTCTAAACTTTATAGGTCCTACAACGGTAACGGCAGCATGCCTCGACATCCTTAACCCTAAACCCTAAACAGTTTCTGGCCGCTTCAGTCCCCAGGTCGGTTTAGGGTTTAGGGTTTAGGGTTTAGGGGTTTAGGGTTTAGGGTTTAGGGTTTAGGGTTTAGGGTTTAGGGTTTAGGGTTTAGGGGCTCTACTAAACCCCAGTGGCTTGGGTGGTATACCTGGAGAATCCTGACGCCTTTAATTTAAGTAGTTCTGGGAATAAGCGGTTTTGAACAGTAGGCATAGTTTTTTCTGCTTGGCGCCTTTTTTTGGGTTTTGCATTCAGATTGTCTGTGGTGTGCTTCGAGCATGTGAAGCTTCGAATAGATCGATTTACAACATCTTCAGTTTAGTTGCATTAGTTCCAGAGAGCATGATTGTATCTGGCCTTGTAGGCCGAGGTCGAGAGCTTTTGCAGGCAATTCTAGTTCATGCTTGTTCTGAGCATGCCCGAACGAACACGTGTCCTAAGCATGCTCGTACGCACACACAACACGTGGCATGCCATGGCTTGCTCCGTGGGATCACCGGCTTCGTGCGCCTCCCTCCCATTCAGAAATTTCGAAGGTTGACCATCGATTTAAGGAAGGGTGCACACTACATATGTACTCTAATCTCCTGGATCATCATGGGATCCTGAGCCCTGGCACTGTGTCCTATCCTTCCAGGTACTTGTGGGGCGGCCTTTGGTGGGGAAGACTCTGCTACAATGACAAGGCCTGTTGGGTGTTCCGAAGTCCGAAGTAAAGGGAGGTTTAGGTTAGGTTAAGTGCTTGCAATTAGGATTGAATCGTGCGGTGCCAGCAGAAGTTCTTTGAATCAGCCGAGTCTCAGTGCAGACATCACCGCTGTGTCGTTTGATTCGCAGCACTTTGCTTTTTGGGTAGATCGGTAGATCGATCGTACAGTGCTTCAGGGGTCATGGATGCCAGCGAGGCTCCCGGTTCTTTGGCAAAAATGATAGAGGACTCCGAAGCCTTGCGCCGGCGGATCCTGGAGAAACCGGAGCAGGTTCTCACGAGGTGGGTTAACGAGCGGGCGGTGGGAGTCGCATCGGTGGCGGCAATGCGGCTTAATCATCACGCTCTGGAGGTTGTTGCACGATGGTGGGTGGAACGATGTGAGTACCCGAAGACCGTTCAAATCGATCGAATGCGTGAGGAAGCCATCTATCATAAATAGTATAAGATTTGGTTTCCAGGTTTATTTGGAATTGAGAAGTTTTGGTGCAGTTTCTTGGTTCCTAATTAAGGTGAGCATTCTTCGCAACAGCCTCGGCCTGTCGGACGATCGCATAAAGGTGCACATGGATGCTGCAGGGCTGAAAATCCTTTTCACGCATGGCCTCAGAAGGTTCGCTTCCGGCTCCGGCAACAGGGTATCCCGAGTTTGATTGGTGGTGCTGAAGTTATTTGTTTATCCTTAAAGGCTTGATTCTATACATCATGATAAAGGCTTCTCTTTTCGAGGATCGTTGCTTGGACGAGTTCTACGATATCCTCAAGGCTGCATGGGTTCTTCCTGAAGGTGGCATGGACGAGGTTTCGCTCCTAGCCATCGAGGATGGACCGTTGGAGGTCCCGGACAGCGATGCCGCTGATGGGCCTGCGCCTGCAGGTGATGTTGGCATGGAGGAGGGTGAGGAAGAGTCTGCGGAGGCGGATGACCCGACGGTTGAGCCGTCGGACCCCTATCTGGAGAAGGCAAAGGCCTTGTTGCCAAGATCGCCCAAGCTGGATGTTCATGAAGATGCTCAGGTGGTGAAGGCAGGCTCCGCTGAGAGCTTGGGGGCGACAACGTCGCCGAAAGCTCCGGCGACGGCACCGAAAGCTCCGACGACGCCACCGAGAGCTCCAAGCACGTTGCCAGAGACTGGTCCTGCCCTGACTCGTCGGCAGCATGTGTGCACACCTAAGAAGCTTTTCCAGGAGGAGCCCAGCCCAGCCTCGGAGTTGGCTGCAGCTCGAAAGGCTATGCGGGAGCAGTTGAGGCAGGTTCTGGAATCATGTCATGTTGCTTCCATTAGATGGTTTGTTGAAAGTAGAACCGTCGGGTATCTTTCGGCAAGCTTTTGGTGAATTTCATCCCTGATAGGGCAGAGTTGGCCCGACGGCAAGCAGCACGCATCTGTGGGCTGCCGGAGCCTGCAGTGTGCAACCCGACTCACATAGCACATTCCTGGAAGGAATAGTAGTTAAGACTTCGTCTGGGCCAAATCACAAAGCATGTTTAGGTACTGACAATGTCGAAACCCAGCGTTGGGATGGTCTTGCCCGCTCAGACTCTGCGTCTTCTGTTGCATCCAGCCCCAAGTCACTGGAAGAAGCGAGTGGTTTGTGGATCGGTAGCCCGTCTTATGCCCCGGTCGCGACGCCGGAACAGGAGAAGGAGCCAGCAAAGCCTTCCCAGGTTAGTTGTTTACGAAATAGAGCTGTAGCCAGGCCGTAGCTTTTAGTTTCTTGGGGTTTGGGTGGACTTGGCTTCTTGGCAAGGCCGAGGCAAACTCCCCGGATCCACTTTTGGTGCTTCGCGAGGCTCAGCGTGCAAGCGGCGCTGCAGATTTGAAGGATGATGCCGCGGAGACGCCGGACGCAAAGCCCAAGGGTAGAAAGCCGAAGGCAAAAGCCAAGGCCAAGGCCAAGGGCAAGGCTAAAGCCAAGGCGGCCGCGAAAGGAGCCCCGAAATCGAAAGCGAAAGCCAAGGCCAAAGCCAAGGGCAAGGCCAAGGCTTTGGAGGGTGATGCTTCGGAGCCGGAGGCCGTGGAGGACGAGGCTACGAATAAGGACGTGGCCCCTTCGACAAAGGAATCGGGCCCCAGCCAAGTGGCCAGTCAGCGCGGTCGTGGCAGCCGCGGCCGTGGCCGAGGCGGGCGAGGTGGCCGAGGCCGGGTGTTTGTCGAGGAGGGAGCCTTGGAGATCACCGACCAGTCGGGTGAGGAGGCTTCCGAAGTCGAGGCAATGGCAATTCCGAAACAGGTGCTCAAGCGCCCAGCTGCCAAGACAGCTGCGAAGTCGAAGCCCAAGGCCGCCGAGGAGGATCGTGAAACGAAGAAGCGCAAGCGAACTACTTTTGCTGGTCGCCGAATCGGCAAGGGGGAGGATGCGAGGCAGCGTTTCCTATCCGTGCAGGACACCTTCGATACTACGATCGCCCCCAAGCTCAAGTGGCCTTCGCAGAGTGAGGCCTCTTTGTTTCAAGCGTGTAGCTTCGGTTGAATGTCGTTTCGGTTTTCCTTTCAGAAACAATAGTGGGTCTTTGGGGTGTGGTGTCTTGGGCTATCACTGGTTAGGGGTTAGGTTCCTTGTGCAGGAGACATTCTGGAGTATGGTCTACGAGGACCTTCTGGCCCTGGAGAACCCCTCCCGAGCCAAGTATGATCGAATCTGCCGAGATGCGGCTACGAAGTTCTTCAACAGCGACTAGACTGAGAACCAGGATTCAATCAAAACCCAAATAAAGGTTTAAACCCTAAAGTACCACAGGTTTAAACCATCTTAATCACTTTCAGCCCTAACAACTAGAACCCATCCATCCTAGATCATCATCCTGAAACCCTACAACGTTGAAACCTATAAATTTCTCATACAATCCATAGCTCCTACGCCCTAAACCCTCACGATGACCAACTCGCTGTTACCTACCCTTGAGGCAAGGCCAGCGCCAATGCTGAGAGAAAGTGAGTCATCAGCACCAAAGGTGCTGAAAAGAGATCTGGGAAGGAACCTAGATCGACTTTTGATCGGGTGGGCATTGCCGATTAGACAGGTCTGGGATAGATCGAGGCAGCAGCTTAGAAGCTATCCCCGAAATCCTAAAATACTACAACCTAAAAACTCTAAGACCCAAGACCCTTTGTGGACCCTAAAGCTATTGTGGCTTTTGAGCGTCTAGCTAAAATGTCGGGGCTTGAAGCTGCTCTGTGATCGTGAACCCGGGTCCTGTATTCGGCATGACTTTTGGATTTCCAAGTTGCCTGGGGACTAACTGTTACAGCCAGTCGAAAAGATTCTTCCTGATTGTCTGAGATCCCACGCACTGCTTTTCTGCAACAGCCGACTGATCGGATACCTGCTGTTTGCAGGTCTCATGAACTTCTTGGCGGCCCGTGGCTTCTACAAGGCGTGCCCGGGATCTCCTGGCTCGCTTTCGAAGGGGCACTGCTGCATTGGGACGCCTACTTGTTGTCAGTTCTGAAGCAGCATACAGCAGATCATGCATGAACGAGAGTTGCCATTCTAGCTGCTTCACACGTTGCTTCCGATTCTCAGTGCAGAGATCAAGACGGCAGTCTC